GCTGAGGGAACATAGCAAGCAACAAAGTCAGTTCTAAGTTCCTATAATTATCAATTCCACAATAGCACGTTCTGTCTCCCCCAGGTGGATGGAGTTCACTGTACCTTGCTTAGAGATGTGTGGCAGGGCCTGTTGCTGTCCAATTATGGATCCAGGAGAACCTGCTTAGTTTCCCTCTCTGCTACTATGGCCACATGGTTCATTAAACCACTGACTGAGCACTGGTTTGGGTGGGAAGTGAGATTAACTGACATCTTTAAGTGGATCATCTTGCAACTCTGCTGTTAATCAGTTTCTCTTCAGGTATGTCTTTTTGATAATGTTCACACAGAACATAGTTATCTTCTTGAGATCACTCTAAGAGGTCTGTCCATATACCGTTTCCTGAAACTTCCTAGCCACAAAGCCTTCCATTGTGATCCTTCCAAGACTGATCATCCAGCCAAATCAATACAGGTCATGAGTACAAATTCGTTCCCCCCCCAAAATCAATTATTCTAGGTGAAGTGTGCAGATAATTCCTTCTTTTTATCAAGTAATTAGAAATACCACAAAGGCAGTACAATATAAGTGTGGAAGGATGACAGAGCAAAAACATTGTGCCTCACTTTGTGGCAGACACAAATTGAAGTGGCTTATTCTTAAGAGTCAGGGATTGCATTTTGACATGTCCCAGATTGCAGCATTCCCCATGATTTTCGTTAAGTGGCACACTCTTATATTTTCTTTACTTTTTTTTTTTTTGGTGTTTTGAGACAGGGTCTTGCTATGCAGCCGAGGCTGGCTTCAAACTCACAGTGATCTTCCTGCCTCAGCCTCCCAAGTGCTGGGATTACAGGCATGTGCCACCATATCCAACTAATATTCTTATATTTTCAAGTTTACCTTCAGCCTTTGAGATATATACATATATATGTATCTATATGTATCTATATATGTATCTATATATGTATATATATATCAAGGTGAGTGGGGTACCTCCTACTTCCTGTTTAACATATTCTTTTAACATAGGTCATGAGTGTATTTTTCCAGCCTCATGTCCTTTGGGACAACAGGTAAGCTATTTCTGATAATCTGTGACAAGCCAAATTCTCAAATAATTTGAGGAGATTACACATCAGGAAGACAGTCAATCCTGAAAAGTAAGATCATGGGATAGAGCTGAGTACAGATCTTGACTGTGTGATCCTAGATAGTTGTGGCAATTAATAAAAGGAAGGAAAATAAACAAGATGAGCAAACAGGACAACTGATCTAAGAATACACTCAAATAACATAGAAAACAAAAAATATTTAAGCAATTCTTATTAGTATTATAGAAAGATTTAAATATGAATTACATACACAAAACAAAAGTTGCCTGAAATGATAAAAGAAAACTGAGGAAACAAGGAAAATTGCTTGGAAGTTCAGTACGTGATTCCTATGCTTCTGCTGATTACAGAGCAAGATCCAGTAAGTGTGACTTCTGCACACCACACAAAGAAATTATAAATTTTGGATATAACCAAAAGATTGCTACCCAAAACACTGGAGACTGAAAACAAGTAAGAATGGGTAGGATACACTGGAAGAAAAATAGTTCCTATTTTCATGGTTTTGAGGAGAACTTCCAGCATCACCAAAAGTCTGAAAAAGGGGCTTAGAGGAGCTGCTTATTACCATATCTCAGCAATGCGGGCTGGTGGTACTCGTGTGTTTGTGTTCTTGCTAAGCAATTACATCTGTGGAGAATCTTCTATTTTATTAATTAAACTCCATTTAAAAAGTTTTTCTCTGGGTGGAAATGTAACAGATAATACCAAGTCCCGTATTTTTATTATTGTAAACCAGTATTCTTAGATTACCTCACATTTTCTTTGTGTGTGTATTAAAGGATCATGCAGACGACGCTAATAGGAGAGGGATATTTTCGGCTGCCATGGCTCTTAGGTGGTCTCAGAGAGAGGGCTGGAGTGGGGTGGGGTGGTCATAAAGATTGGCAGAAATAAATATATGGCATAGGCACAGGTGCAAGAGATAGCCCTGCCTCTCCCTTCTCTGCTCTCCCCTCTCTCCTCACTCACCTCTTTTTTTCTTGTCTTTTCCTTTACACTTTGATGACTGGAAGGGTTTGGATACAATAAGTGATCATTTGTTTAAAATATACAATTAGTTTTCTGGTCAGAAAGCAGAGAACCAGTACATCTTTGGAGCATACTGGTCTTCACTTCTGAGGGGAAACCAGCAGAAGAGCAGTTATAGCCACTCAAATGTACTGTACTTTTATGTTCAGTTTTTGTGCTCAGGCAAATCATAAAGTTACAAAATGTGAATGTAGATATTATGTGCTATGCTTTGGCAGGATAAATTATAGCACTATATTGAAAAGAGGATCTTGAGGGTTTTTGCCTTTGGACTTGTCATGGCCAGGAGAGGAGAGTTTTGCCCAGCACAGAATCCGAATTTCTGCTGTGGGAAAGTTTTGCTTTGGTGAGGTGGTGGGCATTTGAGGGAGGCTTGTACAAGATGATGAATGGAAGAGGATGAGATACTAAAGAGTCAGCTTTTGAATTGCTTTTTGTAAAAAAGGGCTTTTATTTGGAAATAATTTTAAAGCTACAGAAATTTGCAGAAAGTCATAAAAGCATACTTCAGTTTTATTTACTGATATTCACCTAGTAAAATTTTATTCTATTTGCTTTAACACTTATTCTCCCTCTCCATCTTTATCTTTATGTGTGTGTTTTTTTTCGGAATCATCTTAGAATGAATTGAGCCCTGAACATTTCCATGACCTAACAGAGACAGAAACCTTTCCCCACTACCATCCCTAGACCAGTGTGGTCCACTGGCCTGGTATTGTGCTCCATTTTAGTGTCACATATTTTTTTAGTTGTCTTGCCTTTATTCTGGGACAATTCTCTATTCTTTTACAACACTGACATTTTTGAAGAATATTACCTCACTCTACCCTTCCTTTACCTTTAATACATAAGATGTATTATGTGGGCTTGTCTGGTTTCTTCACGACTGGATTTGGGTTAGCATTCCTCACCGTGAGCACACACACATACAAGATACTCTACCTCTCAGGCACGCTATCTTTATTTCCCTTATCATTGTAAAGTATTAATATGCAAGAGGTGGCCATAGTAGTGCTCATTACTATTCCAGTGTCTTTGCTTCTAGGAAAGGGTATGTTCTGAGGCATTCAATGACATTGAAGACTGCTATTTTCTGCTTGAATACAGAGATCTGAGGAAAGAGGTCACTGTCTTTTGCACAACAGCATCATTTCTTGGGTGCTAAGAAAATATGATTTCTAAGTCTTGGGAAGACAGAGACCTTTCAAAGGTACTTAACCTCTCAGGCAGGGCATTGCCTATGGTGGCCTTGGTGAGACCCCTGCAGGCATCTGGGGGAAAAAGCAAATGATGTGGTGGACCTTACCAGAGGCCTGGGACAGAGAAGGAGAATACAGGAGGAGCATCAATGTGGTTTTATTGGGAACACTGATTTGGAATACAATAAATGCACTCACCTGGGGAACCCTAGAATAATGTTTTTCATCAAACCAGCGAGGGCTCATGAACAAAAAGGAAATCGAAGTTAAAATGAATTTATTTAAAACTCACAGATGAGGGAAGCCTGGAAATACCAGGATATGTGTGTGTGTGTGTGTGTGTGTGTGTGTGTGTGTGTGTTGTATGCTATGCTTTAGCAGGGTAAATTGTAGCTTTATAATGAAGTCAAAATTTTGACACATTGATATCTCACAGACTAGGGAATCCTATTACCCAGAAAGTATGGACATAGAGATAAATGACACCCCCCATGTGTGTACATGTAACTTTTCCTAAGATCCTGCACTTTTAACAGAGCCCAGTTGTATTACATGCAGTACATGGTAATGAAAGTAGCCCAGTCTTTAGCTTGAAGATTAAGATTTAGATGAAAGGTTGCATTTATTTATAGTCAAACAAATCAACAATTTGTTTTTCACTTGTTAAGTGAACTCTATAAACTTCTCTTAGACTGCATACTTGGTACGAGAACAAACTCAGACATGTAGAGAAATCAACTGGTCTCTATTTGAATCTTGGATGACAGCACAAATTCACACTACCAGGGATGTGGCTAGCTTACCACGCTAGCTGTTGCCTCCTCCTCGATGGTAGGTTTAAAACTGTATTGCCTCTTTAAGGATTGAGAGGTGAGTTATTACTTATTTTAAGAAATTCTCTTTGGGTTTAGATAGTTAAAGTTGGCTATTAGCCTGAAGAATACTTTTATATGAATTATATTAGCATCAATTTGATAAGAATAGTTCTTCAAATCATTTTAAATGATTTACCTGAATCACAAATAAGTAAAAAGGAAACAAACACAAATTCTGAAAATGTAAGCAACAAAAGGAATGTATTCCCAAAGCATATTTAAAGTTCTTATGAGTCAGTCCTTCCTTAGTCTTCACACTTGATACTTCAGAGATTTAGAGATTTTAATTTGAAGGAGATGTAATTTATTTTTTGCTTCTTGAAAAAATGGACTCTAGTTTGTCACTACAGCTGAAGTGGCCACTCAGGGACATATCTTTGTAAATAAAACTCAGCCTTTGAAAGTCCAATTGTTCAACTGAAGTGGTTACAGATGAGACTTTCAAAAGGTAAAGTGATGCACAAAATGGCTTTTCTAAAGATTAGCAAAATACGTCCTATTATATATACATTGGACTATATGCATTGCCAGCCATTTATTTAGCCATATATTTGACTGTATTTTGAATGACTCTCTGCAATGAATTTCTACTCTAAATGCATTTAAAACTTGGAAAGAATTTTTGAAGAGCTTAAAAGGTTATAGATCATATGCTAAAATTTGCTGTAGAAGTTATTCTCATTTTAACTAGAGATTCTTTCCTCTCCCAGAAGGCTTTGAAATTGCCATCTCTTTTTTGTTTTAAATTGCTGAAGTCGGGAATTCGGAAACTTTAAAATAACTCAAACAAGAAGGCAATGGTGAGCAATTTCTCCCAAGCTGATGCTTTGGAGCTCTGCTATGAGAATGTGAATGGATCCTGCGTTGAAACCTCTTATTCCCCAGGCCCACGAGCAATCCTGTATACAGTCCTTGGTTTGGGGGCCATACTAGTAGTGTTTGGAAACTTACTTGTCATTGTTGCGATTCTTCACTTCAAGCAGCTGCACACACCTACAAACTTTCTGGTCACATCCCTGGCCTGTGCTGACTTCCTGGTGGGAGTCACTGTGATGCCCTTCAGCACGGTGAGAGGTCGGTGGAGAGCTGCTGGTACTTTGGGGAGAGTTACTGTAAATTCCATACATGTTTTGACATATTCTTCTGTTTCGCCTCTTTATTTCATTTATGCTGCATCTCTATTGATAGGTACATTGCTGTAACAGACCCTCTGTCCTATCCAACCAAGTTCACTGTATCGGTTTCAGGAATATGCATCATTCTCTCTTGGCTCTTTTTGGTCACATATAGCTTTTCTATCCTTTACACCGGGGCCAATGAAGAAGGGATTGAGGAATTAGTAGTTGCTCTGACCTGTGTGGGAGGTTGTCAGGCTCCCCTGAATCAATATTGGGTTCTGCTTTGTTTTCTTCTGTTCTTTCTACCCACTGTTGCCATGGTGTTTGTATATGGTAAGATATTTTTGGTGGCTAAGCATGAGGCTAGGAGGATAGAAAGTACGGCCAGCCAAACTCAGTCCTCCTTGGAAAGTTACAAAGAAAGAGTGGCAAAAAAGAGAGAGAAAAGCCGCTAAAACCTTGGGGATTGCTGTGGCAGCATTTCTAGTCTCTTGGCTACCATACATTATTGATGCAGTAATTGATTCTTATACGAATTTCATAACTCCGCCTTCTGTGCATGAGATATTAGTGTGGTGTGTTTATTATAATTCAGCTATGAACCCCTTGATATAGGCCTTTTTTTACCCATGGTTTCAAAAGGCAATAAAGCTTATTGTGAGTGGCAAAGTCTTAAGGAGTGATTTGTCAGCAACAAATTTATTTTTGGAAGAAGTAGATATAGATTAAAAAGATAACCACAGGGACTTCAAAAGTGCAGTTCAAAATGCTTAGTTTATAATAAAACTGTAAAGTTTTTTTAAAGAAAGTAAAACCATCAGCGCCGTCTACTGCAGAGGTCTGACATCTTCTTAACATGTTGCAGAGAAACATTTCTGGAAACAACATGTAACTGAAAGGAAACTACTGTGTTTTTACCACTTTACAGTATCATCATCTTGAGTATTTTCTCTTTCAAATAGAAATTCACTCCCTCTGTAATGCTGCTCTTGAGTCAGCCATTCCGTGCGGTTGCCACTTGCATGTTTCCAAAATCATCTTCTTTTTCATGTGTTCTCTTTAAACTGCCTGTAGTACCAGAATGAACAGTAAGGACCTTTCTATCTGGAGTGGCGACATCATCTGTATTGTTAATTTTGCTAGGTAGATGGCTTCATATTGCTGAAGTTGACGGAGAAATCCAGCATTAAGATTAATACAAAATCTCCTTTCTTGCTCATAAGCAAATGCATCTCTGTACTTCATCCCAGAGGTTCCCATAATTATGCAATAACAGAGGCAACACTTCTGGAGGTCCCTGCATTTCCATGGACAAGAACTTTCCTTCCAGTTTGTAAGCTCACATCAATAAATTCCTTAGTCATAGGGAACACCGGATTAGCTGCAATATCCAAGACTAAATAGCTAAATAGTTGTTGAAAATTTGGTTTAATAAAGTTTGCTTCAATATTTTGTCGTATGCAAATTCTATGAGTTATTCCATGTTTCTGTAGTATAGGTAGCTTGTTTTTCATAGCAGAAGAATAAGGGCCTAAGCACCATCCAGGTAAAATTTCCTGCATCTGTCAGAGCTCTCCTAGGGCAGGTCCACTCCTCGGCTAGTCCTTGCACTGAGGGAGCAAGGGGAGCTCCAGCTTCACGTCCTCCAGGGCCCGGGCCTCGAGCGGGCGGAGAGGGCGGGGAGCTCCGGCGGGGCGGGGGGCGCGGCGCTCGGAGGGCGGAGGGCTCCCAACTGACACTCGCAGGCCAGGGCGCCCCAGCGACTCTGGTGGCGGCGGAGGCGGCAACCGGGAAGTGGAGGTTTGGAGGGCTCCTGCTCGGCC